CCAAAAGACCAGAGAAGATAATTGTGATATTTCCCAGGTAAAAAGTAAATAGGAGAATAAAATGATTAGGTCTTCTTTATATTTCATAAGGTATGAGGGTGTTTCAGAAAACGATGACAGCTTTAAAATAAAAGCATTTTGTGTGCAATGATCATTTACTGGACCACATCACTTCTCTGTATAGTTGTAAATGATGGGTATGTTCAACAATGCCACTATTAGTGTAGGTTCCTACTTATTGCACACATTGATTTTATTTAGAAATTGCCATTACTTTCTGAAACACCCTTGTAGAAAAAAAGAGCAAGCTTTAAAAAATCTCTTGCAGGTCTCCTTTAATTCTGTGACAAAGAACAAGTTGGATTAGTTCCAGTCACTGAAATAAGTTCTTACTAGTTAATAAAAATTGGGGCTAGGAAGATTTTTGTACTGGCAGATCCTCAGTGCACATGAGACTAAGGTAACTTGTAAAGGTTGGACGATCATCACCCATCATTTGGCTCTTTAATTTAGTCCTTTCTTTAATTTAGCAGCTGCCCATCTTACTTTCTTGGTAATTTATCTGTCTTTACTCCAAGCATGAAGACTTTTTTTCGTTTGTTCCTATTACTGTAATTTTGTTTCTTGAAAGGCTTCTCACACAGACCTCTTTTCTAAGCCTTTTTACCCTTACAACATCTACATTCCTTGGCATGTGAGATTTGTTTTGCAGACTAACCCTTGCTTGGGTGGAACTCAGTAGTGGAGCAAAGGGTGGCTGACTGGGGCATCAGCTCTGGGTGCCAGTCCTCAGGGAGATGGGGGCGCAGAAATAGCAGCTGGGGTGCTGGCCTACGTGCTACCCCCTGCCACTGGCAGCCCAGCCAATGACACTGTTCCGTGCACGGCTGCTGCCCAGGGAACTCTTGTGCCCAGTCCCACCTCTGGGAGAATTCAAACGGAAGGCATGTTCAATTTCCTTGTTGCCTTCTTTGTTGGAGAGAGAAAAAGGGCACCTGCACTGAAATCTATCCCAGGGCTTCCAGCAATAAGAATTTTTAACATTACTAAATAATCTTACCAAAATAATGTACCTCTTGCAGATCATCAAAACACTACAATATGTGTTTTCCATGGCGCTGGATTTTTGAGCCCTTGTAGGTATGGTCTGAAGCAGTGCTCTCCAACCTTTTTTGTACCAGGACCTGTTTGTAAACATCAATGGCCAGTCCTGACCCAGTGCCCCTCACTCCTGACCCACTTCCCCCTATCCCCCCCAGGCTCCAGCCCCCCAGTATGTGGGGCAGGATGTGTGTAGGGCATGGGGGCGCCCCAAGCAGCTCTTTGCAGGCCTGCAAGGGAAAAGCCATGGTTTCAATCATTTTTCTCCTTTAAAGGAGAATCCATTTTTAAAGTTTGTTGATCCATTTTTAAAGTTTGTTTGTGACCCATTCATATATTTTTGCGACCCACTTTTGGGTCACAACCCATGGGTTGAGAAACACTGGGCTAGAGGACAAGGTCCTGACTATATCCTCACCTTGCATCTTTTGGAACTTATATATACATGAAACTATTCTTGAATAGCTGTTCCAAAATAATTCTACAGGTGGACTTTCTTATTCTGGAATAATTTTTCCTTGTGCTGTTTATCTTAATCCACTTTTGATAGCTACATATAAACAAAGCATTCTTAATCCATTGTCTATGTGTGCTCTTCAGGTATGACTGTTGCTATTGAAATTCACACCCTATCACAACAATCCAGCTTGTTTGGTCTACACTTGAGAGTAGGTCAAAATAGCATTCTGCTTGGCTTGTATTTTGCTTGCCTTTACTGTTAAACTTAAATGTGTTCTCACTGGGTTAATTAAAAATGTTAGCTATCCCACTGTAAATTAGTAGAGAGTAGTAGAGAGTTTTGACTGCCAAATACACTAGATACAGTCTTCCACAGATTAGCATCTACTGCTGATTTTACCTTGCTTTCTCATAGTAAAGATCTATAGATTCTTTGTCTTCACTAGGGCAAGGGGTGCTCAACCCTTGGCCCATGGACCAAATCCAGACTGCAGAGCCATGGCATCCAGCCTGTGGGGAACCTCACAGATTGGAAAATTTGGCAGCAGGGGAGTGATGGAAGCCAGATCCAGCCCCACCTGGGTCATTGTAGGCCTGTGGGAGTAGGGCTGGGCCCATTGCCCCTGCCCTACCCATACATCCCGATAGGTCTGGGCTGCTTCCCCCTCACTCCCACACATCCAGATTGGGGCCATTCTACCCCAGCTCCCCGACCTGCTCCTCGGCAGACGGATTAGGGTTAGGCTGTGCACCACCCCCTGCTGCCAGATTGTTGGCAGGAAAGGTTTACCTTTTGTATAGAGAGGAAAAAAACTGGTGGGGGTAAGTTCACATCAAAGTCCCTGTCTGCGTGTTTTCACTTTGCTCTCCTTCCAGCTATACATGACATTGTGCTTCACAGAGCTAATATTTCATTTTACCCAAATGTCTTTAATTGTTTCTTACCTGTTTGTTCTCGAGGTTTCTTTTTGAAGATATCTATCCCCTACAGATGTCCTCCTCTTTGAGTATCTGATGACACTGGAGTGCTATACACTGGCAGTCAGTTATGCCAGAGCTTGTTCTGTACTACCACCCCTTTTGGGGAGCAAGTGGACTAAAGACAGCAATATTACTTATACTGAATATTATGCAGATTGTCATAGTTAGCGTTTTAGACAAAACATGCCACTGTCTTAAGTTCTGAGTCCATTGCTGGTTTTCTGACTTGGATGCATATGTGCCTCTTTCTTTGATTTTTTTCAGATATTCCTATTCATATGTATTTTGAAGCATTGTTAAAAAAGGACAAGATCAAAGCAGATCCAGTAGACACCTCAGCATTAGGGGTGGAATTTCAAACATCTCCTTCTCGTGGTATGTGATTCAAAATATTTTAATGATTTTAGAGCTTGCTTTTTAGCTTTTTTTGGTCAACACTTCCTTTCCAAAATAGTTTACAATCTAAACTGATCAGAAAGGAAGATAACAGGCAAAGAAGTTAGGAGGTGGGAGAGAATGAGGAATATAGGAAGAAAAATTATCCCACCCACATAAACACAATTAGTTATGCTATGCGTGAATGAAGTTTGAGAGGAATAGGACAGTGAAATCCTCTACCCTCCAGCCTTTGTTAGGGTTTGAGGCTTAGACTTGATCAGGAGCAAGATTTTTAGTTGTAAGCACCTTCATACTGGTATAACAATGTTCACACTTCAACTGTATCAACTATTAAACTAGTACACTTACAGTGGTAAAAAAATGCACGGTCTTGAACCTTTGTACTACTTGGGAGATATAAGCACACTGCAAATGACAGGAAAGAAACCAAGAAAGGAAAGTGTTTAGACACAACTGAATTCAGTGGGATTTGTTTAAATAGCTTGCTGAATTAAGGACCTAACTGATTGTGGTTGTCATTCTGTACTTTTAAAGATGTGTGTGTCTGACCTTTTACATTATTATTTGGATTGATAGTTGATTCAGTTGCTTATTTTTCTTTGTTGTTTGGATTTTCTTTTAGTTGTTTTTCTCAATTCGCTTTTCAAGATAGATGAAGAGAGTGTATTTATTGAAGAGCATATGTACATATATGTATGTGTATATATCTTATACATATGCATAAATAATATTTATTACATATGTTATAGAAATTAGCAGCAGCACCCAAAACATAGTAGTTTCACATGAGTTCTAGGGGGCTGTAAAATATTATATTTTTTAGGAAATTGGCCTTGCATCAGGTTCCTTCTGTACATGGTACCATGCATTTTGCCTTTTGCATTTTTCTTTAACTTCTTTTTGTCACATGTATGATATAAGATCTTTTCTTGCATCTCTAATGGGTTAAATAAAAAAGGTCTTTTAAAGCAATGTGAATTAACCCATGCAGAAATATGAATAAATTCTTACATATTTTGCTTTTGATACAATCTTCTACAACATTCTCATGAAAAAACTAAGGAAATTCAGACTGGTAGATGAAGGTACTCTAAGGTGGATACACAACTGGTTAGATCATCATGCTCATTGATCATCAATGACTCAATGTCTATTTGGGAAGTGGTATCACAGAGGGTTCGCTGGGGGTTGTCAAGGGTCAGGTATTATTTAACGTCTTCATTAATGATTTGGATTATGGGATTGAGTGCACATTTAGCAGATTTGTGGATGACACCAAATTGAGTGGACTTGCAAGCACTCTGAAAGGTAGAGTTAGTATCTAGAATGATCTGTATAAACTGGAAAAATAGTCGGTATTCAGCAGGGATCCGGTTTTTCCATTTCCCATGGGAAACCAGAGGAAAACATAGATTTCTCATTTTAATGGAGAAACCCGCAGATTTTGCAGTTTTGCAAAGAGCTCTCTGCAGGCTGGCAGAGTTCCAGCCTGCAAGGGACTGGGAGGGAGTGGGTGGAGGGTGTTTAGGCCTGGAGAGCGGCTCCTGTAGGTAAGTGGGGGGTGGGGGAGAGGGGGTATTGAGGCCCCCATAGGGAGGGAGTTGGGCAGGGCTGGGGCTGCTTCCCAGTTGGGTGGTGCGTGAGGCCCAGGGGTGTAATGCATGGCTGCAGGGCCTGGGCGTGGAGTGGAACAGGGCTATGGGTGGCTCAGG